CCAGCAATCCCCCTATTGGGCATATATGTAGAAGAGGTAACAAACACACCATGGTCAGACATCTGTGCTCCAATGTTCATCACAGAGCAGTTGACAATTGCAAAGAGTTGGAAACAACCTACATTTCCATCAATGGATGAATGGATTAAAAAACTGGTACATACATATAGTGGAAGACTACCCATCCCTAAAAAGAAGTCATGAGTGCATGAAGCATATCATCGCATAGGAAGAGTTGGAGGAAATTATGCTAAGTGAAGTAAGACAAGCACAAAAGAACAAGTAAAACATGAGTCCACTGAGGTAAGCTTAAAAAGGACAGTGGGCATATGGGAATGCCCACTAAATGCATAAATTCCCGGGATGAGGTCCATGCACTCTGGTCAGGGATGTCCCCAACCCAGGGATGCACATGGCAACCAACTAAAAAGAGGGGAAAAGGGGTGGGGGCACAAGGATAGTGGGAATACAGGGCACTAACCCACCCATGGGGAGGGTATGTATTCTTTATGTCTCCACAGGAAAGGGAGAGAGGGACCACACCTCAAACTAGTCCTCCAAGCCTTGAGGGCAACATACTGGCATGAAGCAACAAACTACCAGAGAGTTCTGCGGGGACCGGCCTCAATCCCAGCAACATGGACCCTCTTCTCAGAAGAATGCACTACAGAGGACAGCACTGAAGAAACAATAGGAGCAAACTAAGAAGGAGAAAGAGAGACAGAGAGGCAGAGAGAGAACAAACTGCATCATGGCCCACCAAGCCTCAAGGATGACATTCCTGCTCGGAGCATCCAATGCACAGAGAGGACCATAGGGTTGGTCCCACCACAAGACACAACGTCCCTTCACTGACCCACAGGACTGCAGGGGACAGCACTGGAGTCACAGTGAAGGAACTGTGCCTTGTCTGACCACACACACACATGGGGTCAGAAGAGTGCAACAGAACAGCAAGAGGAGCAAGGCAATGAAGATTCCGAGGAATCCCGAAAATAGTCATCTGACTTGGGGTGGACAGGGCTTGGTACCTCATCAGACTCAACTGGAAAACATTCATAAAGGTCAGCAGACAGGCCTGGAACTATTTATAGAACTTTTGGTTTTGCTTTCTTTTTCTTCTATGTCTATCTATATAAAGTAGGCAGGATCAACAATCTCGAGGAGAATACAACAGGATTGACAGGTCTCAGGGGACAGGAAAGAGGGAGAGGTGGGGGAAAGGGAAGTGGGAGCCAGCCAACAAACTCAGGGACAAGGGAATAACAAGAGATCTAAAATCGATGGCAAAGAGGGTGTAGAATGACTGGTGGGGTTTGATGCAGCCGAGAAGACTTACTGAGAGCTGAATGAAAATGGCGTGATAGTGGGACAAAAAGAAAGTAAAAGGAAATAGAGAAAAGAACTAGGAGGCAAAAGACATTTATAGAGTTATAAATATAGGCATGTATATATATATATACATATATATATTAATATATATTATATTAATATATAAAGCACATATATATAAATATATAAAGTTAGGAATATAAGTCTATGGATATATATTAACATGATAAATAGGAAGGTAGCAGACAGACATTGGGCCTCTTCTGAAGTCCTCCTTCAATGCAAAAACACATTGTTCTAGTAACCTAGCATTCTGTGATGCTCACCTTCCCAAAACAATCGCTGAAGTCAAAATGGGTACATAAGCAAATGTGTTGAAGAAAGCTGATGGTGCCCAGCTATTAGAAGGTATAGCATCTGGATCTTAAAGGCTTGAAGTTAAACAAGTGGCCATTTAGCAGGGAAGCAACAAGGCCCACATGGAAGAAGCACACCAGCCTGTGTGATCATAAGGTGTCAATGGGAGCAGGTATCAGTCATCAGAAGACCCCAAACAAACAATCATATCAATGCAAATAAGTAGGACCAGGTCGGAGTGGAGACCCAACGCCCATCTGCAGACAATTGGACATCCTCTCACAGAAAGGTCATATGGAAGAGACTACCCAGACAGGATGCAATATAGCACTTACAAAACACAAAACAAAACAGTTCTCTATTTCTTTAATACTTCCTCCCCACCACTATCATAACCCCAGTTCAACCTTAAAAATCCAGCTAGACCGGAGCATGTACACTGGTATAGATAAGAGCCCTCAACACATGGACTCCAGGACAGATAAAGGCCTCAGGAACAGTAATGGGGGTATAGGATGAGGGATGGGGAAGGTGCAGGGAGAAAGGGGGAACTGATTGCAATGATCGACATATAACTCCCACCCTCCAGGGGATGAACAGCAAAAAACGTGAGTAAAGGAAGACAGTGGATGGTGTACAATATGAAAATAATAGTAATTTATAATTTCTTAAGGGGTCATGAGGGTAGGACGGTAAAAAAGAGGAGCTGATACCAAGGGCTCAAGTTAAAAAAAGAATGCTTTGAAAATGATGATAGCACCATATATACAAATTTGCTTGCTACAATGGATGTATAGATGGTTATAAAATCTGTAAGAGCCCTCAATAAAATGATTTATAAAAAAAGAAAAGCAGTGAATATATAATCTTTATCTGATAATATCTGCAAATCGTTTACAATAAAATGTTAGTAAAAAACAAGATATTATAGATACTTATGATTCCATTTATGTAAAAAAATATGTACATTGTGTGTGTATTTTTATACATAGGACACACCAAAAAAAAAAAACTCCTAGAAGGGCCACCACAAAATTAAAGCAAAGTTTATTTATAATTGATGAGTATAAAGATTTTTCTTTTTCGTTATGTTTTTCTATACTTCACAAATTTTCTACAACGAGTATGCATCAATTTTAAAATCAGAAAAAGAACAGCAATGTGTATAAATATAAAGGGCTTCAAAAAGTTCAAAAATTGAATTAAAGATAATGGAAAATTTCCATGAACTTTTAAAAGCCTCCTTATAACATAAGTCTAATCAAATAGAATACTACATATACAATTTGGAAGAAAATAAACATTTGTCCAAAATTTACAATATTAAATAAAAATAGGGTAAGCAAGCGTCCATCTAGCTCGGAAGCAACAGAGCCCACATGGAAGAAGCACACCAGCCTGTCAGATCACGAGGTGTCAAAGGGATAAGGTATCAGGCATCATCAGAACAAAAAATCTTATCATTGTGAATGAGGGGGAGTGTGGAGTGAAGATCCAAAGCCCATGTGTAGGCAATTGGACGACATTCCCTTACAGAAGGGTCGCGGGGAGGAGACGAGCCAGTCAGGGTGCAGTGTAGCAATGATGAAACATGCAACTTTCCTCTAGTTCCTAAATGCTTCTTCCCCCTCTCCCCCTCCACTATCATGATCCCAGTTCTACTTTACAAATCTGGCTAGACCAGAGGATGTACACTGGTACAGATAGCAACTGGAGACACAGGGAATCCAGGGTGGATGATCCCTTCAGGACCAGTGATGAGAGTGGTGAAACCAGGAGGGTGGAGGGAGGGTGGGGTAGAAAGGGAGAAACAATTACAAGGATCTACATATAACCTCCTCCCTGGGAGATGAATAACAGTAAAGTTGGGGAGGGGAGACCTCGGATGGTGCAAGATATGACAGGGAGGGAGGAGGAAAAAATGAGAAGCTGATGCCAGGGGCTTAAGTGGAGAGCAAATGTTTTGAGAATGATGAGGGCAATGAATGCACAAATGTGCTTTACACAATTGATGTATGTATGGATTGTGATCAAAGTTGTATGAGCCCCTAATAAAATGATTATAAATAAATAAACAAATAAATAAATGATTATAAATAAATAAAAATAGGGTACTTTTTGGTTTCAGATACTCTCATATTATATCATCAGTAGACTGGGAAAACATAAACACATACATAGACATGTACATACATACATGTGCATGCGTGCGCGCACACACACACACACACACACACAAACCAGTGCTCTAGTACCTCTGCTCACAGGGTTTTCACTTGTGTGCAATCTCTTCAGATCTAACCTGACAAGAAATTGTATGGTTGGATTTCTGGTCCAGGTGTTTTAAACTTCCTGATACTTTCCTAAACATTTGATAATGTCACTATTTTACCAAAGGAGGGTATTTCTTGTTTGAACAGAGATCTAAGCACTTGCTCACAACATTCAAATTTAACATTAAAGGAAAATTTTATAAATTATTTCTGTGGAATAATCTATAAAAGAGCTAGATGGAGCCATGTTAACTCTATAATCATAATGTCAGCAATCCCTACAGTATGCCAAGAACTCTTTTTCTGAGAGCTAACAAGTCATTTTGTTTGTTTGCTTACTTTTTCTCTCACAAGTAGATGATAAAGTTTCTCAATAAATTAAGAGTCATTAAAATAATCTTGTTATCAGATGGAGACTATTGTAAATGGATTATTACAGACACAGGTCAAAATGTACAAGTAGATGATAAAGTTTCTCAATAAATTAAGAGTCATTAAAATAGTCTTGTTATCAGATGGAGACTATTGTAAAATGATTATTACAGACACAGGTCAAAATGTAACACTTTACTATTTGTCTCCCATTTAATCCATTTAAAATTTGTTCCAGGTTTAAATATTTTATACTCTCTTTTCAATTGTTTTTTTGTTGTTGTTTTATCATTGTTAATTTTTATTTGTTTCCTGATTTTGTTTTACATATTTTTTCTGTATATAAAATCCAGAGAAGTCAATATAGAGTCAATAACTGGATTAATACTCACCCAGGGGCATGACAGGGGAGGTAGTGGGGAAATGGAGGGCTACCATCAATAAGTATGAGAAAGAAGGAAATGTTCTAAAACTGATTGTGGTGATGATTGCACAATTCTTCTTAAAATGATTGAACAACTGAATTGTATTGTGAATTGTAAGCCAATATAAATTCATTGTTAAAAACCCCTTCCAACTGAATATCATTGAGCACTGAAATGATCATCGATAGTGTTTAAAGATAGAAAAAACAAATTTCCCCAAAGAGAAGAATGTTTGACTTACTTTAACCTCCACCGTCTTGCCTCCAGGCTCAATGTGTCTCTCTCTGTAGTCAGAGGACAGCAAATCACTGCAACAACAAACAAGTGATGATTACAGAGCAGTCTGAAATAGTTGAAACCCAAATCACATTTACACATAGCAAATTGTAACAATTTTTAAACCCAATGTAAAAAAAAATCCCCTCTCTCCATATAGTTTTCTATTTCTAGAGTAAAATACAAAGCTAACCTGACTCTACAAAACCAGCCACTTCATTGTTTAGAAAAAGCGATTCCACTGATCCGGTCATCAGTTCTAGCAAACTACCATATGTATAACCATTAATTTAAAAACATCTTCTGTCTTATATGGCCTCTTTCTCAACCAGCTTCTCGGCAAATATTTCTTCCTCTTATTCTTCTTTTGCTTTTTGGAATTTCAATAACCATTTTAGTTATTTATTAATGATAAATCATTTTATTGGGGGTGCTTAAATATATTATAACAGTCCATACATTCATTATATTAAGCAGATATGTACAAATATTGGCATCAACAATTTCAAAAGATTATCTTTCTTCTTGAGCCCCTTGATATCAGTTCCTTTTATTTCCTCCTTTCCCACACTCTACCACACTCGTGAACCCTTAATATATTATGTATTGTTAGTTATATATATCTTACACCACCCCTCTGATCCCTTCACCTACAATCCTGGTATTCATCCCCCTTGAAGGGGATTATTTCGCCATCATTACTATCAGTTCTCCCTTCCTCCCCACTTCCCCTCTTCCCTTCCCCTAACCCTCCTGAAGTGGTTACTCCCATTACTGTTTCTGAAAAGTTTGTTTATCCTAAATTCCATACAATGAAAACTCTCATCTATACCCATGTATGTAGGCCAGCGTAGCTGGATTTGCAAGGTAGTACTGAGATCATAATAAATGCGGGGAGGAAGGATTGAAGACCTAGAGGAGTGTTGTGTGTTTCTTCGGTGCGATACTGTCCCCTGGATCCATCTTCCCTTCCGTGTGGCCCTCTGTGCTGGAATGTCCAGTTATCCCCTGATGGACTCTGGGACTCTACCTCGACCCCTCTCCTTTGCCTTGATGAGGTTGTTTATCAAATATCTTCTTACTGAATAGTTTTAATTGACTTCCCCGCTGTTTCTTGATGTGGAATACGGAATGCTTTATTTGTCAAAGTATCAGTTTCATCACAAAAATAAAAAGGGAGTAAAAAAAAGTTAAAATGAAAATGAACAGACCACTATCCTTTTAAATAAAAATCCCCTTTTAAGATTTTCTTCTTGGACATTGGGCCTCCACTCAAGTACTCCCTCAATGCAAGAATACTTTCTTCTATTAAATTGCCATTCAATGATGCTCACCTTCCCAAAACAACTGCTGATGACAAAGCGGGTGAATAAGCAAAAGTGGTGAAGAAATTTGATGGTGCCCAGCAATCAAAGGATATAGTGTCTGGGGTCTTAAAAGCTTGAAAGTAAACAAACAGCCATCTAGCTCAGAAGCAACAAAGCCCACATGGAGGAAGAACACCAGCCTGTGTGATCACGAGGTGCCGAAGGGATCAGTTATCTGGCGTCAAAGAACAAAAAATCATATCATTGTGTGCTCACCTCCATGATACAATTGCTGAAGACAAATGGGTGCATAAGCAAATGCAGCGAAGAAAGCTGATGGTGCCTGGCTATCAAAAAGTATAGCTCTGGGGTCTTAAAGGCTTGAAGGTAAACAAGGGGCCATCTAGCTCAGAAGCAACAAAGCCCATATGGAAGAAGCACACCAGCCTGTGCAATCACGAGGTGTCGAAGGGATCAGGTATAAGGCATCATCAGAACAAAAAATCTTACCATAGTGAATGATGGGGGGAGTGAGGAGTGGAGACCCAAAACCCATTTGTAGGCCACTGGAGATCCCCTTGCAGAGGGGTCTCGGGGAGGAGACGAGCCAGACAGGGTGCGATGTAGCAACGATGAAAAATACAACTTTCCTCTAGTTCCCAAATGTTTCCTCCACACCCCCCTCACCCACCCACTACTATCATGATCTGAATTCTACTTTGCAAGTCTGGCTAGACCAGAGGATGTACACTGGTACAGATAGGAACTGGAAACACAGGGAATCCAGGGCAGATGATCCTTTCAGGTCCAGTGGAGTGAGTGGTGATTCTGGAAGGATAGAGGGAGAGTAGGTTGGAAAGAGGGAACCGATTACAAGAATCTATATGTGACCTCCTCCCTGGGGGATGGACAACAGAAAAGTAGGTGAAGGGAGACATCGGACAGGGCAAGATATGACAAAATAATAATTTATAAATTATCAAGGGCACATGGGGGAGGGGGGAGGGGGGAGGGACGGGAAAAAATGAGGAGCTGATGCCAGGGGCTTAAGTGGAGAGCAAATGTTTTGAGAATGATGAGGGCAATGAATGTACAAATGTGCTTTACACAACTGATTTATGTATGGATTGTGATAAGAGTGGTATGAGCCCCTAATAAAATGATTTAAAAAAAAGATTTCTTTCTTCTAATCAATTTTGTTGTATATTTTTAAGTTTTTCTAAGTTTTATAATCTTAAACATGCATCTCATTAATCTATATATGCAAAAAATTCTTCCCCTTTAACAGAATTGCTTCAAGTCATGAGTTCTGCTAAAAAAAAAACAACCTTCAAATCTTTAAGCTTAAAGTCAAAAACAAAACAACAACAAAATCACTGCCATCAAGTCACTTCTAAATCACATAAGAGTGAGTAAAAAATGCCCCTCTGCGTTTCCACGGCTATAAATCTTCACAGGAGTAGTAAGCCTCCTGTGGAGCCATTGGTTGTTTCAAATTGTGGACCAACTCAAAACCCATTATGCTACTTGCACTCTTAAAGCAGTATAACATAAATAATATTGTTGATATTGTTAGGTATCATCATATCAATTCTGACTCCATGTAACACAGTAAACTCCATGTAACACAGTAAACTCTCAAAACTCATTGCCATCAAGTCCTGGTGACACAGTGGGTTATGCGTTGGGATGCTAACAGCAAGTTTGGCAGTTCAAAACCACCAACCACTTTGTGGGAGAAAGATGCAGTTTACAATGCCCATAAAAAGTTCCAGTCTTGGAAACCCACAGGGGCAGTTTTACCTTGTCCTACATAGTCACTATGAGTCATAAGTGACTGGATCAATGGTAGCGAGTTCAGTTGAGTTATTATTATCTTAACTCCATGTTTTATTTGGCCTTGGAATATGCATATATAGTCTCCTATTGACTGAATGGAAGGATCAGGGTGGATGCTCTCAGCTGCAAGTAGTGGAAAACTAAAAATCTTAAACAGTCTTAAAAAAAACTCAAGCATCTATATGGTGCTGGGCTGGTTTCTTTATTGGCACCCCACAGGAACCGTCGGGCTGCTATAATTCTAGGTACCACATTTACAGAAACTAATCCTGAAGTATAAAGCCCTGTGTTTCATTAAAAGACTAAACCATTCACCAAACAAACTCCCAGAATCCATCTTCTCAAGAATCTTTTGCCAGAATTACCTTATCTGGCTACACCTCAATCAATACTTTGACAAGGGCATATGGACCACTATGATTGTCTTTGAACAATAAAGCCTCCCCTCCAGAGATCTCCCCAGAGCATCATGGCTACTCACATAGAGTGGAATGCAACTAGGAGGATGGCAGAGAGAATCACTGCCACATGGAAATTTAGACGGATCTCCCATTATCCAAGTTAATATGAGTGAAGTTAAAAACATCTAAATAAAACACTCCCAAGGGAGCCCTGGTCGTAGTGGTTACATGTTGGGCAGCTAACTGCAAGTTCAGCAGTTCAAAGTCACCAGCCACTCTGTGGGAGAAAGATGGGGTTTTCTACTCCCGGGAAGAGTGACAGTCTCAAAAATTCACAGAAGTAGATCTACCCTCTACTTCAGGGTCACTGTGAGTTGGCTCTGATGTGATGGCAGTGAGTTTGGAATTTGGTTTAAAGAAGAGTATTGACTGAAGCAGCAGTAGTAGTAGAAATAATAATCATTTTTTAAATTAAAAAAGCGTTTGAATCTTATGGGTTTTTTGAATTTCAAAAAACATTTTTCCTTTGAAAAATCTAGGACAAGCGACTATTGCACAAAATCAGGTGCAGAGGGTGAAAAAAGCAAAATCCTCTACTTAGGAATCCTATGGCTATTTTCATAAGACCTCTATATGTACAAGACTTGATGCAAAGCGCCCCATGTAATTTAAACCAAGAACAGCCTGTGCAATTTAGTTTAATTTGTTTGCAGAACTGTGGAAGCCAGCTAGGTGTTATTTTTTAATTATTAAGCTGAAAACCTTCTATTTTAAATATTTTCCTCGCTACCGAACCACAAAATCCTTACCACCAACTTTATAACCTAAGTAAATTTTCTTGTTGCCTACTGACTAGAGATAATCAAAATTAATCTATGTTCTTTTCCTTTGTTATATATCATTACCAGGGTCCTATTTACATCATTTAACATAGAAAAATGAAAAGACTTCTTAACATAAAAACTCAAAATTCAAACTCACTAGCACTGAGTCAATTCTGACTCATAACTACTTTATAGGGTAGAATACAACCACCCCTGTGGATTTCCAAGATTGTACATCTTTACTGGAGTAGAAAGCCTCAATTTTCTTTTGTGAGGTAGCTGCTGGGTTTGAATCGCTAACTTTAATAGTAGGCCAAGGTGTAACCCCCCCTACACCACCAAGGCTCCCTCCATAACAGATATAAGTTTTTATTTTACTTTAAATGTAAGGAGGCTGAATTTATTCCATGGTTTTCGGTCAATTCAGGTGCCATGTGTTTTATGAAGAAGGAAAATAAAAGTGTTTTTAAAATTAGAAATATTGAATAAGGATTTACTTATGTGCATGACAGAAATATCTTGGGATAAGTAAAACAAAAACAAGGAACACATTTTTTATCATAAAAATTATTACCCTTTGTCTAGTGGTGATTGTCATAAATCAGAGGCAGTTGGCAGAGTACAATGAATTTAAAATCCCAAACCCAAAATTCTGTTTTCC